TTCAGCATTCGTGAAACTGTGTGCCCAAAAGCTTCAGGGAGAGACCCGTTCACATGCGACTTCAAAATTGGGCCTTTTGTGGTGAGTGCCTCTGGTGTAAATGTGACCCCCCTGCTCCCTCTGTGCAGGATGTTCTCAGGACATGTTGAAACACCGTTGGTGTTGAAGAATGAAGAGTGACTGGCTTTCTGAAAACAAAAACAAACCCAGACAAATACAACCTGCAGCATGGATTGGGTGTTAGTGAAGGGTCAGTGCCGGGAAACTTGTCTGCCTGGTCAGTGGGGAATACAGGAACTGGTGTGAGCTGAAAAGAGGGTACATGTCTAGGAGCAGTATGTAGTGAAAGTGTCTGCATGCTTTGGGACCAAATCCTGGAAGGGAGGTATGGCTTTTTTTTCTAAGATAAGAGGGTAGAAAAATGGATGTTTGACCTGTTTTGTCTATCATGCATCTAGGCACCATATAATGACTTATCTTCCTATATAGTGCAGATTCCCGCTCTGTGCTAATCTTTTTCAGATTTTCAACTCCCTTTTCAGCCCAGAACAAACACACCAGTATAGCTCTTGCTCTGCTCTGTTTGTTAGATGACCAGCTTTGGTGTAAATACATAATTTTTGAATCTGGACTTCTCTGTACACAGTTATTTTTGCCAAAACATGGCTCCCATTACAAGCTTCTGAGCGGTTGTGTCCTAACCGCTTGCACAAATCGTACAAAGCATGCAGAATAGCTCTTGAGTCCCTGTATGCAATGATGTCATACTCTGTGTCAGACTTCCATAGAGATTATCTCTCTTTGCGGTGTTCCAAGCTGAGCTCTTCTTGCCTCTTTTTCCTCTGTGAATGGCTGCCAAACTTTCCTGTCCTTCCTGGGCATAGTCTTTAGGAAAGAGTAGGGATTCTGGGAAGGCAGTGAATAGGTGGTGCAAAGGCTTTCCTCATAGCTTACAAGTCATGCTACTACCTCAGGAGGTAGTTTACGCCACGAAAAGGGGGTAAACCTCTTCAAGTATAGCTGCTCTTGAGCTAAGCAGCTTGTGTGTGTGTGTAGATAGGACAAGATGGAATTGATGGTTGTTGCTAGATTTTCTTTAAAGACACAAGCGCTGGCTGCTGCAAAGTTATCATTATATTTAAACAGACACCATCTCTCTTCTTTTCTTTTTTGGGCAATACGGTTTGAAAGATAGTGTCAGGATCTCTGTTTTCCAAACGCAGGTGGCAGGTTTTTCCGGGGCTTCTGTCAAATTGTAGAGACAAATTCTTTAAAGGTAGGTTTAACTTCTAGAGCTGGAGCTGCCATCAGCATAGCCCTGCACAGCTCTTCTGTTTGTGCTTGGTGATGCCAGAGCCATGAAAAGGATTTGGAGCTTTTCTTTTGCCTCTAGCAGGCTCAAGACTTCATACAGCTAATATGTAATAACTTGCATATCAGCAAGTGGAGCAATAACTTGTGTGTAGTTATATGCTGCCAGAATGTATCGGTCTGGCCGTAGTCTGCTCAAATAATTTGTTAGGTGTGTAGTCTTGCTTGGCTTCCTTTTGGAATTTGATTTTTAAATCCTCATACAGGTTCCCTCCCCACAGTGAAACTCGCATGAGAGGGTTTGCACAGTAGCCCGCTTTACGAGATTTGCTCTGTTTTGATCTGTTACAGCCAACCGCTTTCTGCAGAAGTGTTGTGGAAGTGTCCGGTGAGCTGATCTCAAATGTTATTGTGCAGTGCCATCGAGGCTTATCCAGCTCTGAATCTATGAGCAGCGAGGAGGTAAGGAAAGGGAAAATGGATTTTTGCTGCCTGGGGGAGCAAAAATTCTGCTCGTCCTCTTTTAAGGAGGTCAAGTGTATATGTGTGAACTGCAACTCTTGTTGCAGTCTGAGGTTTTGATCGGAAAACTGAATGTAGTTTGAAATCCAGCTGTCTCCTGTAATGCTTCACTTTCCATCAGCTGAGAGGTTTGACCTTGCTTGATGGATGCCTGGGGAGAGTGTGAATCTCTACGGCAGCCTGGCCCACCCACCAGCTCCAACACTTTCTTCCTGGACATAGAGATTGTGTGCCCACAGAACAGTGATTGGCACATCTTAGAAACAAATACTGGTGACTCTAGCTCTGTTACCAAACCTGTCTTTTAGCTGAGCCTGTAGTCACAGTATAGCTGAAGAATTTGCTCTACTGAGATTTGTGTTCCCTTTTTGAGCTCTTATTTGGTTTTTAAGATGTGATTAAATGCTGACCCAACCTGTAAATTCCTGCTAGGTGTTTTAGAATCATGCCAGTGTCCACTTTTTCCATGAACTGACACTTGAACCCTGGATGCCTACTCTTACAACACAGATCTACAGTGGATGCTGTGCATAGGATTATATGCAGGGAACAAAGCTAGTTTCACAAGCAAGGTGCCAGAGAATATGGACAGCTTCTATTTTTTGGAAGTGCAAGTGACTAAATGAATAACTTGAAGCAAATAGGATTCCGTGTCACCTTCTCTTGGTTCTAATTGCCAAATTAGCTTGTAACTTTTTTTGCTCAGAATCTCTATTCAGAGTTGGCTAGTGAATGCACCATGGTGCATTCTTCATTTGCAGAGTAGAAAGACCGCACGTGAAGTACTGAAGTATGTAATGTAGGCTCGGATGTTCAGTCTGTCCTCTGTGTGTTAAGCATAACTCTTGTTTAATGGGGCACGCAGTAGAAACACTTGCTTTTACAAGCAGATGTCTTCCTGCAAGTCTTCTTTAACCATCACTT